AAATACATATCCGATACATATAACAATATATATTCAATATGTGTTAAATACGTAAATTATGTATTTGATACGTATTTGTAATATTGTAAATACACGTTTAAAACGGACTGTATATTATATATACCTTACCGAAAATAAAAATCGGAGCGTAAATCAAATGTAAAGAAAGAGTGATAGAAGCATAAATAAAACTTCCAGGAAGTGTAAATTGGAACAACATAACATAAAAAAAACGTTTTAAGATAAACGTCTCTGTTATGTTACTTCATGCTTCTAGAAGTTTCGTTTGCGTTTCTGTCAATTCTCTCTTTAATTACGTTTAACTTCCGTTTCGATTTTTATTTTTGCCAGTATATGCGTCACATATCCATACTATACATATATACATATATATATATATATATATATATGTATAAATAATATTCATACATATATTATTAAACATGAATGTTAAGTTTAAAGTAATAAAAATATATTTGTACTAATAATATATTTCTAAAATGTTAGTATTAGTATTTGGAAATATGTTATAATATAAAGTAATATAAAGCATTATTATTATTGTAGACTTAATATTTATAGTTGTTTCTAAAACTAAATAAAATAAAAGATTTGAAAAAAATGCAGACATATAACACACGGTATTTTTATAGATACAGTATTTTTAATACAAATTGTTCAATATCATTTTAATACAAAAATGGAATGTTTTCACATTTTAAGAACAAATAAATTAAACTCACTTTACATTTTTATAATGTTTTAACGCAAATAAAATACCTTTTAGCATTTTTAAAAACAAAAGTTAAACTTATTTTCACATTTTTATGATTTAACGCAAATAAAATACTTTTTAGCATTTTCAACGCCAAAATTAATTTAATCATTATAAGATTTTACATAAACTTGAGAAACAAAACATTTATATATGTTACGTCTTTTCGTTATAGTAAATAAAGAAAAATACCTGAATAACAATAAATAAAAAAGACGAATCTATGATAATATAACGTACGTAGATTTTCTTACATATTAATATTTTCTTCTTGAACATGTGGAACTTGAACTTGATCAAGATGATCAGGATCATCCTGATTATTTTGGTTTTTTTGTTTGTTTCTGAAACAATCAATTAATGTAATATTTAATATGTAATACAGTTATATATATATATATATATATATATATATATATATATGAAAATACAAAAAATATAAATAATTAAAATTTGTAGAAAAAACTATAATTGCAAGATACAATAAATGTTTCAATATTTGATTGAATATGTGTATATCTTTAATATAATAAAGAAATAGATAACATAAAAGATTATTAGGAATAAATAACATTTAAAAAAACACCTTAATTGATATTACAGGGAATATTTACAATTAATTTTTACTATTAATATTTTTACTATTAATATTTTTAAACAAAAATAAATATAATAAGAAGTTCACTTACGCTATTCTTCGAACACGTGCATGAGCTTGAACTATCCAGTTTGTCATAACTTTTATTATAACTTCCTCGGTTGAATTTACATTGTGTAACCGAACAACAGCTATGCATATCAATTTATAATATTATATACATCATACATTGACTTAAGCTTTAATAACATTAGCGATTGAAATTGAGATTAGATTGAGATTTAACCAAAGCAAAATTTATTGAACTTGATATTAGTTTTTCTTCTTTTCATGGTCAAATTTCATTTCAATTTCAATTTCAATCGCTAATGTGATTAACACTAATGACTTAACGTTGTGTTCTAATACAATTATTTCTGCTGATATAATTTATCATAATATAACTAATTGATACTTATAATTGTTTCGTCTTATGCTGATCAGTATTAAGAAACACAGGAGTCAACAGAAACAGTTAATTTCAAAATATAACGATGTAAACTTTAAAGTTTTTTTTACCTATGATTAAACTAACAATTTTGAAATTTTGGAATACATTTTTTCCTCGAGCTCCTTTCCAACTATATAACATTAATATTTCGTCCTTTATTAATGCTTTAAATGTATTTTTTATCATGTCTTGTAGATTTGTTCCGCCTTTCAATTTCAAGAAGCCTTTCTGAAATAATTTGCCATAAAATATGCGAACTATTAAAATAAAAATTTATATTTCATTTTATATACAAATAAATAAAATAAAAATTATA